GGTCATCCCCTGTACTGTGTCCGTAATCTCTGTCATCCCCTGTACTGTGTCTGCAATCCATTGGTTCAAAATGTTTTTTTTCTTGTTTTTCTCCTCTAAAACGTAGGCGCGTCTTATGGTCAGGTGCGTCTTATGGAGCGAAAAATACGGTAAATCTTGTGCAGGAGAGCGGCGCTCAGCGTACATCTTGTGTAGGAGAGTGGCGTTCAGTGTAAATCTTGTGTAAGAGAGCGGCGCTCAGCGTACAATCTTGTGTAGGAGAGCGGCGCTCAGCGTACATCTTGTGTAGGAGAGCAGCGCTCAGCGTACATCTTGTGTAGAAGAGTGGCGCTCAGTGTACATCTTGTGTAGGAGAGCAGCGCTCAGTGTACATCTTATGTAGGAGAGCAGCGCTCAGTGTACACTGGGAAAGCAGAGCTCAGCCTGTTCAGGAGTTAGCTCCACCTCCTTAAATGGGTGTTTATCAGCACCACCACCATGGTAAATGTCAAAGGCAAAGTCTCATATTTGGAGATCCTGCCAGTAACAGCATTTTCTCTTGTCAGCATACTGCACACGCTTTATTCATTGGCTGTTGGGCTGCCTATTAGGTCTTTTAGACAGGCACCCAAAAGGCTAAATGAAAGAACTCACATAGCAGGCTGACAACACAATAATTGTAAGACAGTGGCTTAGCATTTTTAACCTGCAACAGAAAGTGCCACTGGTGGCAAGATCTCCAGGTAAGAAACTTTGCAATAGATTCACAAAAATTATTTGTTTAAGAAAATTGTAACCAAACAAAAGTTTTCAGGTTTTCTTTTTTTAAACAAAAACAAAACAAAAAAGACAGCATATTCAGAATACAACAGACAGCAAGGCAGCATGTGAAGAAGTCGTACAAAAACAGCATTGCACATCCAGTACAATAACTGTACAAGCATTCTTCAAACATATACATCTTATGGGGACATCCCCACCCAGATACAGTCAGATCCATAAATATTGGGCCATCGACATAATTCTAACATTTTTGGCTCTATACACCACCACAATGGATTTGAAATGAAACGAACAAGATGTGCTTTAACTGCAGACTGTCAGCTTTAATTTGAGGGTATTTACATCCAAATCAGGTGAACGGTGTAGGAATTACAACAGTTTGCATAGGTGCCTCCCACTTATAAAGGGACCAAAAGTAATGGGACAATTGGCTTCTCAGCTGTTCCATGGCCAGGTGTGTGTTATTCCCTCATTATCCCAATTACAATGAGCAGATAAAAGGTCCAGAGTTCATTTCAAGTGTGCTATTTGCATTTGGAATCTGTTGCTGTCAACTCTCAAGATGAGATCCAAAGAGCTGTCACTATCAGTGAAGCAAGCCATCATTAGGCTGAAAAAACAAAACAAACCCATCAGAGAGATAGCAAAAACATTAGGCGTGGCCAAAACAACTGTTTGGAACATTCTTAAAAAGAAGGAACGCACCGGTGAGCTCAGCAACACCAAAAGACCCGGAAGACCCCGGAAAACAACTGTGGTGGATGACCGAAGAATTCTTTCCCTGGTGAAGAAAACACCCTTCACAACAGTTGGCCAGATCAAGAACACTCTCCAGGAGGTAGGTGTATGTGTGTCAAAGTCAATAATCAAGAGAAGACTTCACCAGAGTGAATACAGAAGGTTCACCACAAGACGTAAACCATTGGTGAGCCTCAAAAACAGGAAGGCCAGATTAGAGTTTGCCAAACGACATCTAAAAAAGCCTTCAAAGTTCTGGAACAACATCCTATGGACAGATCAGACCAAGATCAATGTGCACCAGAGTGATGGGAAGAGAAGAGTATGGAGAAGGAAAGGAACTGCTCATGATCCTAAGCATACCACCTCATCAGTGAAGCATGGTGGTGGTAGTGTCATGGCGTGGGCATGTATGGCTGCCAATGGAACTGCTTCTCTTGTATTTATTGATGATGTGACTGCTGACAAAAGCAGCCGGTTGAATTCTGAAGTGTTTCGGGCAATATTATCTGCTCATATTCAGCCAAATGCTTCAGAACTCATTGGACGCTTCACAGTGCAGATGGACAATGACCCAAAGCAGACTGCAAAAGCAACCAAAGAGTTTTTTAAGGGAAAGAAGTGGAATGTTATGCAATGGCCAAGTCAATCACCTGACCTGAATCCGATTGAGCATTTCACTTGCTGAAGACAAAACTGAAGGGAAAATGCCCCAAGAACAAGCAGGAACTGAAGACAGTTGCAGTAGAGGCCTGGCAGAGCATCACCAGGAATGAAACCCAACGTCTGGTGATGTCTATGCGTTCCAGACTTCAGGCTGTAATTGACTCCAAAGGATTTGCAACCAAGTATTAAAAAGTGAAAGTTTGATTTATGATTATTATTCTGTACCATTACTTTTGGTCCCTTAATAAGTGGGAGGCACATATGCAAACTGTTGTAATTCCTACACCGTTCACCTGATTTGGATGTAAATACCCTCAAATTAAAGCTGACAGTCTGCAGTTAAAGCACATCTTGTTTGTTTCATTTCAAATCCATTGTGGTGGTGTATAGAGCCAAAAATGTTAGCATTTTGTCGATGTCCCAATATTTATGGACCTGACTGTACATATATACTGCTCCGAAAAATTAAAGGAACACTTTGAAAACCCATCAGATCTCAATGGGGAAAAATCTCCTGCTGGATCTCTATACTGACATGGACGGGGTAATGTGTGAGGAAGGTAAGGATGCTCCATCGTTTGATGGAAATGAAAATGATCGACCTACAGAGGACTGAATTCAAAGACACCCCGAAAATCAAAGTGAAAAAATGATGCAGCAGGCGAGTCCATTTTACTGAAATGTCATTGCAGCAACTCAGAATGGCCTTCAGTAGTCTGTATGGCCCCCCACGTGCTTGTATGCATGCCTGACAACATCAGGCCATGTTCCTAATGAGATGACGGATGGTGTCCTGGGGGATTTCCTCCCAGATCTGGACCAGGACATTACTGAGCTCCTGGACAGTCTGAGGTGCAACCTGGCGGCGTCAGATCAACCGAAACATGACATCCCAGAGGTGTTCTATTGGATTTAGGTCAACGAGCGTGGGGGCCATTCAGTGGTATCAATTCCTTTATCCTCCAGGAACTGCCTGCATACTCTCACCACATGTGGCCGGGCATTGTCGTGCACCAGGAGGAACCCAGGACCCACTGCACCAGTGTAGGGTCTGACAATGGGTCCAAGGATTTCATCCCGATACCTAATGGCAGTCAGGGTGCCATTGTCTACCCTGTAGAGGTCTGTGCGTCCCTCCATGGATATGCCTCCCCAGACCATCACTGACCCACCACCAAAACGGTCATGGTGAACCATGTTACAGGCAGCATAACGTTCTCTATGGCTTCTCCAGACCCTTTCACGTCTGTCACATGTGCTCAGGGGGAACCTGCTCTCATCTGTGAAAAGCACAGGGTGCCAGTGGTGGACCTGCCAATTCTGGTGTTCAATGGCAAATGCCAATCCAGTTCTATGGTGCCGGGCAGTGAGCACAGGGCCCACTAGAGGACGTCGGGCCCTCAGGACACCCTCATGAAGTCTGTTTCTAATTGTTTGGTCAGAGACATTCACACCAGTGGCCTTCTGGAGGTCATTTTTTAGGGCTCTGGCAGGGCTCATCCTGTTCCTCCTTGCACAAAGGAGCAGAAACCGGTCCTGCTGATGGGTTAAGGACCTTCTACAACCCTGTCCAGCTCTCCTAGAGTAAGTTCCTGTCTCCTGGAATCTCCTCCATGCTCTTGAGACTGTGCTGGGAGACAGAAAACCTTCTGGCAATGGCACGTATTGATGTGCCATCCTGGAGGAGTTGGACTGCCTATGCAAAGTCTGTAGGGTCCAGGTATGGCCTCATGCTACCAGTACTGACACTGACCCTAGCCAAATGCAAAACTACTGAAAAACAGTCAGAAAAAATGAGTAGGGAAAAAATGTCAGTGGCCTCCACCTGTAAAACCATTCCTGTTTTGGGGGTCATCTCATTGTTGCCCATCTAGTGCGCCTGTTGTTAATTTCATTAACACCAAAGCAACTGAAACTGATTAACAACCCCCTCTGCTACTTACCTGACCAGATAATATCCCAGGAGTTTCATTGACTTGATGTAACACTCTAAATAAAAAGTGTTCCTTTAATTTTTTTGAGCAGTGTACTTTAAGTCCCTCCCACTAGCCCTATGCATTACATAGCAGCAGGGCAGTGGTCCCTGTACTATGCTGCCAGATTAACACATACAACCGGTGCCGCTGTGTTGTGTTGGGAGCACACTCAACCCACACCACCATCACGGTGACTGCGCTGTCACTCACAGCTCTCATCTAGCATTGATCGGCGATCACATTATCAGGAGCCCATCCTACTGGCCTCAGACGTTAAGATCCCCTTAAACGCCCAGCTCCTGGTGAGAAAAAAAATGGGTCAAAATGTGAATTATGCAAGGAACCTGCACCCTTGCTACAGGTCTTGCCTGAAAATGTGCACTAATACTGATGTGGTTTCCATGATTTGTTGCCAGAAACAGGTGTCTACTAGGACCTCTCCACCCAATCCCAACTAAGGTGGAGTCAGGCCCCCTCCCACAGTGTCCTAGGTGCTCCCCATGATTGTGGTACAGCTCCTATGGAGGAACAGGACAGTGCTCATACCTGTCTGTATCACTTGTTGAGAATTACAATTCTAGGATAACAGTAACTACAAAAGTCAGTGATTTTGGCTGGAGAGGGGTGCACTCTTTTGCAAGAGTAAAAATAACCAAGTTTTAGCTGACCAGAAATCTGTGGAAGTGGAATGTAACAAACAATGACTTCAAAACTGTGAGCTCCAAAAAAATGAACACACAAACTCAACCCAACATCTCACGTACAAGTTAACGGCTGAGCAACACGACTGAGCGTCTTCATTTGTAACATGCCGGAAAAGAGTCAGTGTTTGGTTATGCTCCAAGCGGTGTAACGTTCTCAATCTCCCTTATGGGCCCATTTATGTCTCATTAACGTTGATCGGCTTGAATACCGCTTGCCGCATTTGTGACACTTGTGGCGTTTTTTCTGAGCATGCGTTTTCTCGTGTTTGACCAGCTCGCACTTCTTGTCAAACCGCCGATCACACTTGTCGCACTCGAAGGTCTTTCCTTCTTTGTGCCGCCTCTCGTGGACGAGGTAGCTGCTCTTATGGCCGAATCTGGCCCCGCACTCTTGGCACACGAAGGGCTTCTCTCCAGTGTGGGCTCGCTGATGGATAATGAACTGAGATTTATAGTCGTACTGGATGCCGCAGATGGGGCACGGGTAGCGTTTGACGGCGTGATTTACGGCTTTGTGCCTTATCAGGTCCTCCTTAGACATCAGACGTTCCCCACATGCATCACAGTCATACTGCACCTCTTCCTCCGCAGGAGCCAGATTGCTCGTTTCAGGCTCAGATTCTCCTTGGACTCCATTCTCAGTAGTTCTGGGATGATTCGGGTTGTCGTTTTCATCCTCCTCTGCAGAGTCCAAGGAATCGCACCCTGGCTTCCATTCTGGTGAGCTTTTCCTCTTTGGGGAGTCTTCAACCTCTTCCTCCTCCACCTCGCTGAAGTATTCTTCTTCTGTAGGAGAACAACACAATGACAATGAAAAGTCCAATAAAGCAGATTTAGACTAAGGGCTCATGCCCACAGGAAGTGAAAAACGCGGCTATTAGAGGCATTTGCCGTTTTTTTATTCTTCCTCTATCTGCCCCTCTATGTTAGTCTATGGGGGTTATTTACTAAAACTGGAGCATGCAAAATCTAGTGCAGCTCTGCCTAGAAGCCAATCAGCATCCAGGTTTTATTGCCAAAGCTTAACTGAACAAGCTGACGTTAGAAGCCGATTGGCTACCATGCACAGCTGTAATAGATTCTGAGTGCTCCAGTTTTAGTAAGTAACACTCCAGAGTGATTCACTGTCACGGTTTACACATCCATTCACTTTTTCACTAAGAGTGAACACGTGTGTTTTACAGTGTATTTAGTTTTACACAGTGTATCTTTATGCATTTATTTAATAAGGATAATGCACTATGTAAATGTTCTTTTTTTCTTGAGGTTGCATTGGTCGTGAAAGCCATTTGGGAGGCTCAGACACTTGGACTATTTTTGGAATCACCATTTATGACTATAATTTTTGAGGACAGAAGTGTGTGATTTTTTGCATATTCTACTTGATTTTGGACATTATTATTTTGGACAATTTTTTTATGTATAATTTTGTACTTTTTGTTTTTTACATTGTGGGAGATGTTTGTTTAAGTGGCATATTAATTTTTATAGATATAGATACACTTTCAAGGGGGAAGGTGAGACTTTATGTTATAGGGTATATATATGTAATTTTTGGGGTGTTACCGTAATTATTGATATTTAACCCTCTATATGTCCATGCACATGCATTTAGAGGCAGAAATACACTGTTCAGGAGAGGAGTGTCCATTCCAATTGCGAGATAATATTAATATTCTGGCCAATGGAATCACTCAACACCCAAACGCCTGACACATCTAAACACATGTGCCTACCGCGGCTTTCAATATGTGTATTTTAAGCTGATTTTTTTTCCAGGTGTCCAGGGGAGGAAAAAAAACATCCTGTGTGCATGAGGCCAACATTTAACAGATGTAACTTGCCAAGTAAAAAAAAGAATCACTTAAAACTGGAGCACTCAGAATCTGGTGTAGCTATGCATGGCAGCCAATCAGCTTCTAACTTCAGTTTGTTCAATGAAGCTTTGACAATAAAACCTGGAAGGTTGGTTTCTATGCAGAGCTACACCAGATTTTGCATTCTCCAGTTTTAGTAAATAGCCTTCACTGTGTCCATTGAATAAAAGAAAAACTAAACCCCCAATTGACTCAGAGGAGACCACAAAAAAAAAAAAAAAATCATAAAGCTGCTAAAATTTACTTAAATGGGTAATAAAATCCTTCCTGACCTTGAAGTCTCTTTCAGTCAGGTGATAAGGCATACCGCCTTCTGAAAAGCCATGGTGGGTGGCTTTTCACAGGGAGCGATATAGATATTTCTACCAGGCGGTCAAAATGTGCTATTGCCTTTTTTTTTTTCTTCTTACATCGTGGGCCACACCGCAACTGTGAGCCAAGGGTTTGGCTTGAGGTGTGGTGCAGCCTCTTTGATCTCAATGGGCATGTTTGATAGGCAGTGCCACCTGTCAAACTCTACAGTCTACGCTACAAATGCCACAGCCACGAAGCAAAGCATTGCAGCGATGGCATTTGTACATCCCTGTCAAGCTAAAATGTTAGAATCCCAGTGGGCGGTAGACCCGTGGCTCAGCTGCCTCATGTTCATCACCCCTCCGGCCTCCACTCACTCTGATGGGAATACATTAGACCTTGTTTTCTCCCAACTTTGCAGTCCCTACAACCTCACAAACGCCCCCATTCCTCTCTCTGATCATATTCTCAACACCTTCCGTGTCCTCATCTTCAAACACCAATCCCTCCAAGCGGCAAACAATTTCCCGAAGAAACCTTCACAACTTGAACCCGGCTCCTTTCTATTCTGCAACTGACCAACTCTATGACAGAATCTCTCCCCTGTCCTGCCCTGACCTGGCCACTGCTGTCTGTAACAGTTCACTTTCATCCGCATTAGACTCACTTGTTCTCTAACAACACGAAGTATTAGGCCCCGACCGTTACAACCGTGGCAGACTGACCACACCAGAAATCTTAAACAACATAGTCATGCGCTGGAGCGATTGTGGCGTAAAACCAAATCTCACCAAGCATTCACCCTATATAAATCTGCTTTCTTAACATACAATTCCTCCCTTCATGCTGCCAAACAAGCCTACTTTGTCACTCTTATTACTACCTTGTCATCCAGTCCTCGTCGTCTCTTCTCTACTTTTAACTCTCTACTTTCTCCACCTCCACCCAGTACCTCACTCACTGCTCACGAGATTGCACATCATTTCAAAAACAAGACTGAAGCAATTCGTAGGGGCATCACCACTGCACAGACATTCATCCCATTTAGCATACCTTATACTAAACCTCCCTCAACACTTTCCGCTTTTGACCTCGCTACTACCGAAGAGGTCACTAAGGTTTTCTCAGAAGCCTGTGTGGAGAATGCGTTCAGATGCATGACATTAGCACTGAGACAGCTCTGGGTTACAGAGTGATGATCAGGAGCCAGTGGATAGAGATCCCTATATGCACTGCACAGAGAAGCACAGAGACCCAGTGATGACATTTGAAGTAAGGTATGTGATGAAAACGGATTGAAAAGTAGAAATGTCATTAGCATGTTTATGAAGGGTGGGGGTAAGAATCAGGAAAGGCAAAATAAAGGCAGATTAAACCTCAACCTCAAAAGAAGTATGTTTTTTTTTTTTTTTTTTTAACTCATACTTACCTAGGTGGATGCAGATTCGATCCGAAGCTGCATCTGTCTCCCGCTGGCGCTAAGGGTGAGAACTGAGACATCAGATGCCATTGATCGCTCAGTTCTCCCTGCCACTCTAAGCAGAGAGCAGTGACAGTCACTGCTGTCGGATCTACCCCCAGAGCTCACTGGAGCACTGGGCTGTGGAAGGGGCAGGAGTGGCTGGCTCAACTCTCAGTAGATCACTGAAAGGCTAAGCCAGGTGCCAGTCCAGGCTCCTGGGTGGATCCCAGCCATATGTTCAGGATCTTTCCCCAGTCTGGAGAGGCTCTGTGAGGTCAGCTGGCAGCAGATTTAAACCGGGTCACAGGAGTGCAGAAGGAACGGCACTCTGGCGATCCACAGGAGAAGTACAGCCAGACAAGCTTTGGCTGTGCTTCTCCTTTAAACAAAAGTGATAGTGAAAACTGTGTACTTCCTGATAGGATTACCCTGGAACATGAATGATGTATAAATGTTAATTAGATAAGAGTCGCCCAGGTGGGGCAGTCAGCATTACCTGAATCCCAGTGTTCCCGGACCTGCCAGGTGCGTTTCACTGGACCGTTATCTGCCACCATTTCTGCGTATTCCTGCCTATGTTTCTCTATGTAGCTCCATTCATCCAGAGTGAAGAAGACCGCCACATTCCCGCACTTCACCAGTCAGTACCTGGAGCAAAAGACAGAGGCCAATCAGGGCTCAGCTTTCATTCTGATGTAATGAAATGTTGATCTGGACTGGTTGTTGGGGGTCACTTTTCTACAGCAGCTTTTTTTTTCCTGTATGACTAATCAAAGTTGGAAATGGAGAAGCTCATTTTCTCTGGTCATGCAAGTGCCCCCTCTCTGACTTCATCCCACTCAGTGCAGGTTCAGCGACCTTTTATTGTACATAAAGACATAGGGTCCCACCCACATTTAGCGCCAGTTGCGCCACCACTTACTAATATTTAGCCCGGGTTCACACTGAATATGACTTTGTAATCATGCAACTTCACTTGAAGTCGCACGATTTCAAAGTCGTATGTCAGTGCAACTTCAGGTGCGACTTGTAAGACATCTGTTCGATCTTCATGCACGGGTGTCAATGCAAGTCGCACCAGAAATCGGCAAAAGTAGGGCAGGAAATACTGGTGCGACGAAGTCAGAGTCGCACCCATTATAAACGCTTCCATTGCAGATCATAAGTCGCATCAGTGTGAATGGTGTCTTTAATGTCTGATTGGAGTTCAGATTTTTATTAACTGTTACCCTTTTGTGATATCTGAATTCTCTTTTGGAGTAGTCTAGACATATCTTTGAGCCCACAGCACAATATATTTTAAATTTCATTTATTTCAGCAAATGAAAAACATCCTGCCTCTGAAGAATTCCAGATATGGATATTTTATACAAAGTTCCATTGATCAAGCTTGGACCAATATACCTATGTACAGGGGCGGACTGACAACTCATGGGGCCCCTGGGCAATAGGGGATCATGGGGCCCCTGTGTCCTTGCCCAAACTCAAAAAAGCCTATGAAAAAGGTACCAGGGGCATCTCATGGGGCCCCCTACTGACCCCCTGCCCTTGGGCAGTGCCCGAGTTTCTAAATGGTCAGTCCGCCCCTTCCTATGTATATACCATCTAAAAATGTAAGTATCACCCCTATTTAGTGAATACAAGCGGCACATACACCTCACAGCGTTATCATCAAAACGTATGTCTAGTATGTCTTTGTGACCAGCATAGGGACCCCTATGAGTAAGTCAGGATATGACGAAACGCGTCAGGGCATGACGGTGCGGCAGACCAGAAGTGACGTAGATCCGTAACCGGAAGTGATGTGACGGTGTTCTGTCCGACAGTTCCGGAGGTGGTGAGAGCACCATGCAGTATCTGCTGGTTACAAAGACATACTATTTGGGCTTGTTGTTTAACATTGTAAGTGCATTACTTGGAGTAAATAAATCTTATCTATTTTGGGTAATATACTATTGGAGCGGATTCTTTGTTCTTCTCTTTTCATGTTATGGTAGATTGGAGTTTTGAATTATCTTGACAATCAATCATTGAGTGGGCTGTTCTTGGAGGAACCTCTGGTCTATTAGTGGATATCCTCTTGAGTATGCTTTAACAAAGGCAATATCTGGTGAGTGCACACCTGAGTGGGGGTGCACGGTGGGCACAAGGTTTTCCATACCTTAAAGTTTTTCGCCACATGAAGTTATTTCATCACTGGATTTTAATTTCTTCTTTATTATTTTTCATCACCGGACTTTTTAAATTTATTTTATTTATTATATATAATTTCTATGTCACGGGACTTTGTTTGAGATATCACATTATGTGTTACATTTATTAATTTTTATTTTTGTATTTATTTATTTTTTGTTACAGATAATGGTGAAGATAATGAATGATATATAATGTATGAGTGATAATTGGAGATTTAACACTAATGTTTTGATAATAACACTGTGAGGTGTATGTGCCGTTTGTATTCACTAAACAGGGGTGATACTTCAATTTTTAGATCTTTAAAACAGGGTATAGTGGCACCAGTAAGTTTTCAAAAAATTTTTGTTTTCTTGGATGTTAATTTTTTGCATCAGGCGCGATATAGTGACATTTGGATACGTTTTTCAAGGTGGTCACTTATAGAGTATATGTATATATCATACCTGGTGATGGCACTGGAAGCTCCACTTGTTTCCAGGTTGCATGCGGAGCGGCTGCCCTGCTGCATACTGAACAGAATACAGGAGGTCAGCAGCTCAGCAAGAGCAACATTCAGAGAAAGCTTTGCATTTTCTGAATGAAAGCAAAATATTCTCTGATTGGACAAGGTGGAGAGGTGGGGCGATGACACCCTGGGGTTTATTTACTAAAGCTGGAGAGTCCAAAATCAGACTCCCTTCTGCATAGAAACCAATCAGCTTCCAGGTTTCATTGCCAAAGCTTCATTGAACAAGCTGAGGTTAGAAGCTGATTGGTTTCTATGCAGAAGGGAGTCTGATTTTGGACTCTCCAGCTTTAGTAAATAAACCCCCCTGTGTTTAGAATTCAGCAAGGCAGCTAATCAGCACAGGACCTAGAAGCAAGGGACAATCACTAAAATATCGATGCCTATCTCAGTGATTTCCAGCTATCGGTGGCATCAGGCAGGTATAATATATACAGTTGCAAGAAAAAAAGTATGTGAACCCCTTGGGATTACGTGGAGTTTTGCATGAATTGGGCATAAAATGTGCTCTGAACGTCATCTAAGTCACAACAATAGAAGAACACAGTCTGCTGAACATAATACTACACAAACATTAGATGTTGCCATGGTTTAACTGCACATAACATGTAAACATTCACAGTGCAGGGAGGAAAAAGTATGTGAACCTTTGGACTTAATAACTGGTTGACCCTCCTTTGGCAGCAATAACCTCAACCAAACGTTTCCTGTAGTTGCAGATCAGACCTGCACAATGATCTGGAGTAATTTTGGACCACTCCTCTTCACAAAACTGTTTCAGTGTAGCAATATTCTTGGGATGTCTGGTGTGAATCGCTCTCTTAAGGTCATGCCACAGCATTTCAATCGGGTTGAGGTCAGGACTCTGACTGGGCCACTCCAGAAGGCGTATTCTGTGCTGTTGCAGCCATTGTTTTGTTGAATGACTTGTATGCTTTGGGTCATTGTCCTGTTGCATCACCCATCCTCTGCGGAGCTTCAGTTGGCGGACAGATGGTCGTACGTTTTCCTGCAGAGAATGTCTTGATAAACTCTGGAATTCATTTTCCCTCAATGACAACAATCCGTCCAGGCCCTGAAGCAGCAAAGCAGCTCCAAACCATGATGCTCCCTCCGCCATGTTTTACAGTGGGGATGAGGTTTTGATGTTGGTGTGCTGTGCCTTTTTTTCCCCACACATAGTGTTGTGTGTTCTTCTCAAACAACTCAATCTTGGTTTCATCTGTCCACAGTATATTTTGCCAGTACTGCTGTGGAACATCCAGGTGCTCTTTTGCAAACTTCAAACATGCTGCAATATTCTTTTTGGACAGCAATGGCTTCCTCCGTGGTGTCCTCTCATGTACTCCATTCTTGTTTAATGTTTTCCTTATTGTAGATGTGTCAACAAAAATGTTAGCATGTGCCAGAGATTTCTGTAGGTCTTTAGCTGACACTCTGGGATCCTTCTTTACCTCATGCAGCATTCTGCGCTGTGCTCTTGCAGTCATTTGTACAGGACGACCGCACCTAGGGAGTAGCAACAGTGCTAAACTTTCTCCATTTGTAGACAGTCTGTCTTACCGTGGACACATGAACATCAAGGCTGTTGGAGATACTTTTGTAACCCTTTCCAGCTTCATGCAAGTCAACTATTCTTGATCGTAGGTCTTCTGAGAGCTCTTTTCTGCGAGGCATGGTTCACATCAGACAGTGCTTCTTGAAACCAATAAACCCAAAACAGGTGTGTGTTTTTTAAGGGCAGGACAGCTGTCAGCAACACATCCAATATCATCACACTGATTGGAGTCAAGGTTGGCTCACTCCTGGCTCCAATTAGCTCTGGGAGAAGTCATTAAGCTAGGGCTTCACATACTTTTTCCTCCCTGCACTGTGAATGTTTACATGTTATGTGCAATTAAACCATGGCAACATCTTATGTTTGTGTAGTATTATGTTCAGCAGACTGTGTTCTTCTATTGTTGTGACTTAGATGACGTTCAGAGCACATTTTATGCCCAATTCATGCACAACTCCACGTAATCCCAAGGGGTTCACATACTTTTTCTTGCAACTGTACATAGTTACATTGGTCCAAGCTGGTGTGGACATGCCCTTTAAGCCTGCAATGTGCTGACTGGATATTGAAGGAGCCTGCTGTATCTCTGGGATAGGGAGCCTCAGTCTACTCTTCACCAGGTGACCCACCTCTCCTGTCAACTCGTGGATTCCCTTGTGGATGGAGTCCTTCTTCACAATTACCCACTCCTGTAAAAAAAAAAAATTAATTAAACAAAAGAAATGTCAAAAAGTTACAAAAGTGCGAGTGACCAAAACCCGTTAGATAAAGAGTTGTTGCAGGATTTTGGAGGGTCATATACTTAGTATTCTTTACGTGAAGTCCATGCTTGCTCAGTAATGTCAACGGAATACATTACCTCCTACAGATTACACTACTCTCCCTGACAATGCCTTCATCTGCTTTTCTCTCCATAAGGACAGCGCCATATTTGTCGTTGAGAATTATTATTGAGTCAACATCTACAGTACTTCCTGGACTGAAATATAAATCCTGGTGCCTGTGCAGTTCATAACTGTGTTCACAAATGTCTGCCACAGATCAGCCCCTGCTGCAGCCTCTCATCTTGTGACTTGCTATAAAGTTGAAGCGGAACTCCACCCAAAAGGGGAAGTTCCACTTTAAGGACTGCTCCCCCGCTTCCCATTAAGGATTGGCACCTTTGGGGAGCGAGTACCCGAATTTGACAGGTACCCGCTCCCACTTCCAGTCCGATCGCCTAGGCGATTGGAAGCAAAAGGTGTCCTCCCTCCCTGTAGTGTTTTGGGACACGTGACAGATCCCAGAAGCCTACAGGACCATTCACGAAGCCCAGTGCTTCTCGCGCATGCGCAGTGGGTACCCGGCTGTGAAGCCACAAGCTATCACAGCCGGGTGCCCGCACTGAAGATGCCGGCCTCCTGGAATACAGGACAGCCGCTGAAACAACCTGCAGGGGACACACCGCGGAACCGAGAAACAGGTAAGTGGCTGGTTTTTAAAAGTCAGCAGCTACAGTTTTTGTAGCTGCTGACTTTTATTTTTTGATAGGTTGAGTGGAACTCCGCTTTAAAGTGTAGCAGTCTAATCAGTGGGGGCCAGAGACTGAGGAAATACTTCCTCTTGACTGCAGCAGACTGATGACATCATCTCAGCCTAGATAAAGTCACTACCTTGAGCTCAAGGACAGCTTTTAAGAACAGAAGCTGTAGCTTTTTGAAAAAAAAAAAAAGGGGAAAATGTTGCTGTGTATTGTGACGTGTCATAATAAATGTATACATGGAAACTTGTAAAGGTTCTCTTATAGTCCACTTTATAAATGTAGCTCATTTCAGTGAAAATGAGCCCTTAGTATGGGAAATGCATAATGGCAGCAACTCCTCTTTTTTTCCCCTCCTGTAATTAGTTTCTCTGGCAGTGCTTTCGAAATCTTAGTCAGGATCATAACACAAAATCTCCAGCATCATTGAGGTGCAACAAGTAGGGACACAACAGGCAGGCGTATTATTATATTATTATACAGGATTTATGGCGCCAACAGTTTGCTCAGCGCTTTACAATATAACAGGAGACAATACAGCAACAATACAAGAGGGATAGGAGGGCCCTGATCCTCGGAGCTTACAATCTAGGAGGGAGTCTTACGTCTACGTCTTACTAATGTATAGTACCTAGGCAAGTATAAGTCTGCGGACCAATGACCATCAGACCTATGCGAGCTTGTTGGACATCCCATTCCAAAACAATGCCCAATAATATGGAGTTGCTCCCCTTTGTGGCTTTAACAGTCTCCACTCCTCTGGAAAGGCATCCCTCCCAGAGGGAAAGATGTCTGTGGGAATTTGAGTCCGTTTGTGAGGTCAGGTACTGGATGAGAAGACCTGGATCACAATTCCAAGGCTAACCAAAGGTGTTAAGTAGGGTTGAGGTCAGGGCTCTGTGCAGGCCACTTGAGTTCCTCCACACCCAACTCATCCAACTATGCCTTAAAGTTGGAGTAAACTCCCTTGGTTGATTTTTACCTGTAGGTCACCTATAAAGGCTCACCTAAAGGTACAGTAAATATCTCCTAAATGTGCACTGCTCAAGAGATATGTACTTTAGAAGCATCCAGTGACATCACCGACACATGCGCTCTGAAGGAACGGCATACCCGTGCCGTTCCTTCAGAGTCCTCTGCCACAAACAATGATTCCTGCGCGACATCATCGCGGCTCGGCCATTCATACCGCCAAAGCCTACAAACACGGAAGGAAGACCAAGTGAAGATGGAAGCACCTACAGCAGTGACAGCGTGCTATTAGAGGGCTTGATTTTCAGGTAAGTCTGTCATAATGTGCTAGTATGTGATGAATGGGCCCAGAGCCCTTGTTTTTTGTTGCGGTTTACTAATGCTTTAATGGAGCTAGTTTGAGCACAGAGGGGGCAGTCATGTTGGGCCATCCCCAGACTGTTATCACAAGGTTGGAAGAACACAATTGTCTACAATGTCTTTATATGCTGTAGTAGTAACAGGACCCTTCACTGAAAACTCCTGAACTCTGTCATTTGGTGGGGTGTCCACATACTATGGACCATATAATGAAGCAGAGGAGACAGAGGAACATTCTATATAAGAAGACACCAAGTGAGTCCAGCAGCTACACTTCCTTTACAAGGAATATCCATTCTATAGTACAGTGTTTCTCAACCTTTTTTCAGTCAAGGCATCCTTTAAAAAAATATGGACAGTCCCAGGGCACCCTTTAAAATGATGGACATTCGACACTGCGGACAAGAGGGCACTATGCTCCACATATGGTGGAAATGTCCTGTGGTTCATAGATTTTGGATCCGAATATTTAACTTCATTTATTCGGTAACGGGAATTAATATTCATAATCACCAGAAGTAGCTTTATTTCATCTGTTGCCCACTGATATTCCCAAGAAATCAGTTAAATTAATTCTTTATCTTTTGTTGGTGGCTCGAATTACTATAGCTAGACATTGGAGACAGTCAACAATTCCGCTAGACTTGGTCAAACAGAAACTTAATTGGATTATATTTAATGCTAAACTCACTAGTATCATTAACAATACTTCTAAATTTCAGTATACATGGCAACCATGGATTAGGTATATCTCTATTATTTAATGGACTTATGGCTGGCCCACTTTCTTTTTTTCCCTCTTTCTTTTTCTTTTTTTTTCTTTTTTTCCGATCTATTCTTTATCCTCTTCTTCGATTCTTTTTGTTTATTTCTTTCGGTCTCTTTATTTTTGCTAGTTGGTTCTATGATACTGCCCTCGCCTACTGACTGATGGAATATTTGCGACCCTATTGGGTTTTTGTTTTATTGTTTACAACATCATTATTATTTATTATTATTATATTATATATTATTATTATTATACAGGATTTATATATGGCGCGCCAACAGTTTGCTCAGCGCTTTACAATATAACGGGAGACAATACAGCAACAATACAGTTCAATACAAGAGGGTTAGGAGGGCCCTGATCCTGGGAGCTTACAATCTAGGACAACATCATTGGTTGATGTATTCTTATGTGCCTATATATTCCATGAATCTGATTGTTTGCCACAACTCACCATGTAGGTGTTTTCTATTTTTTACAGATTTCCAATAAAAATATTGAAATATAAAATAATGGACAGTCTTGAGGCACCCCATTCTACAATGTGAAAAACTATTTTAATAGTTTTGTATAACACAGCAACATCCACACCTGTAGGACACCCAACGATGGAGGTGATTTATTCTTCCAAAGAAAATACACTTTTGCACACTGGTAATGACTAGTATTCCAATGTTTCTCCTCTCCCTCAGTTTTTCTCCATCACTGAGCTAATGTGACCCCAGCACTGATGGAGAGGGGCGGGGGGAGGGTCAAACTAGGATGCTGTGCAGGCAGCCGACATCCTCCTTATCAACTGATGATGTCATTGGTTGTCAGGATGCTGGCAGCTAGAAGGTCATAATGGTGCACAATGAAAAAACCTGTGGTGTTGTCTAACGAAACGGCAGGCTTGTCCACCCACTGGCTTGTAGACAAGTTTTAGCCAATTTTTAGACATTGTGCCAAGGCACCCCTGAAGAAACCTCAAGGCACCCTGTTTGAGAAAGGCTGATATAATACACAGGAGGCTATAATGTATCTTCCGAGGGTTCAGAACACAACAAAGTCACTGAAGGTCTGGTACTGACATCACCATCTAGGGAGCACTATCTGGGTTATTTCTTCTTTTACTCCAGCATCAGTTATTTTGTGGAGCATCAATAAACCTTTCTAGGATCATTTATACGTACCCACAGTGAAAGGAGAAGCAGCAGATGAGGTCACCTCTCTACTATCTTCTCCTATTGTACTGCAACACAGCCGATTGTGCAGCTTCAGCCTCCCATTCTCTGAGTTCTGTGTACTGGAACCACAAAGACTGATACCAGGAACCACAAAGACTGATCAAATTCATACTTACACTGTTTGGCGGTGGCTGCACCTACTACCTGCTGAGAACCGCAGGAGGAACTGCTCATCAGCTATCATTACTGTTAGTATAATTTATGTGCGACCCAAGATAATTTCTCTTCTTCGAAACTGGCCCAAGAAGGTCAAAAGAATCGGGAGGCAGGGGGTTAGGGCTGAATTCGACTTTCACAGGAATACCTGAGATCTGCACGTAACTTCAGCTGCTCATATCTATGAATTTACGTTTTTTCATATGCAATTGGATATGTGACCAGGGGCGGACTGACCATTTGGAAACTTGGGCATTGCCCGAGGGCCCGGGGTCAGTAGGGGGCCCCATGAGATGCCCCTGGTACCTTTTTCATAGGCTTTTTTTGAGTTTGGACAAGGACACAGGGGCCTCATGATCTCCTATTGCCCGGGGGCCCTATGAGTTGTCTGTGTGCCCCTGTATGTGACTGATTCACTTAAAAAAAAACAAACACTGGAGCTGGCTCAGCATGTTGGAAACGGTCATCGTGGCCTCACCTCCCCAGTGATCAGTGTGATAATCTCCAGGGTTTGATTTAAAATCCGCTCCATCTTCAGCTCTTTCTTCCTCCGATTCCTCCACAAGACGCTGGTCACATATTGAAGGATGGCCAACTGTAGGGGAAGAGGGCAGGTCAGAGGTGAGACAAGAGGGAGGCTGGGAAACAACAGAAAATATTCACCGAATGTTTAGAGAGAGAGAGTCAAAGAAAATTGTGATCATTAGGCCTCAATCACACGGGTGTAATAAAGTGAGCACCCATGTGAAGGCTGTGTTTACTCTCATGGGGATGCACAGGTGATCCATGACATTTGTGTACAGAGTTGCATGATTGCGCAATTGCAAGGTAAAGTAGTGCAGTGCAAAAAAAAGCAAAAAAATAGCCTGATCAAGCAGGAGGTAAAATCTTCCAGAGCTGAAGTGGTTAAAGCAATAGAAGCAAGCTGCACTGCTAGCTGTGTGGGCCTTGTCACTGTGTGAAATGGCTTTGTTTACCAACAAAGTCATGTGACTGCCATGTGAGCACTGCTTAACCACCTCCCATCCGGCCGTTGTATATAAACGGCCGGACGGTGGCACTGCAGGGTCGGGTGGCCGTCTATATACGGCCTCCCCGCACCCTGCTTGTGCGCGCTCCCTGGGAGTGTCCCTCCCTCCGGACACAGTGAAACACAGTGAAACGATCGTCGGACGGGACCTCTGTACAAGGTCCCGATCATGTGATCACTGATTGGCCAATCAGTGATCACATGCAAAGTAGTAAGCAAGATGTCACTTCTGACATCATTGCTTACTATGTGTGAAATCTGTGAATGATCACAGAGGTCACATGGTACAAGGCTATTCACAAAAGCCTTGTACCATGTGACAAGCTGTGACCAATCACAGCTCACTCAGTACTTCTCAATGAGTGCAAGAATGCAGCCAGAGAGGAGGAGAAATGATTGCTTTTACAGCCTTTATGGATGTAAAAGCAATCAGTGTAAAAAAAAAAAAAAAAAAAAATCTTCATCACCCCCCGCAAGTAGTACAGTGTCACCATGGTGACACTACTGCTAGGGTGACAGTATGTAAAAAAAAATAATAATAATATAAAAAAATAAAAATAAAAATGTAAAACAAAATGTTTAAAATTTGAAATTTTTGCTTATAAACTAATTTGGATTTTTTTTTTTTTTTTTTTGTACTAAAAAGATAACGGAATAAATTTTGGCTAAGATTTATGATGAAATATTATTTATTTGCAAAATTTTATAAAAAAAAAACACTTTTATTCAAAATTTTTGGACATTTCATTTACCGTATTTGCCGGCATATAAGACGACTGGGCGTATAAGACGACTGTTAAAATATAGGGTTTGAGCTATACTCACCGTATAAGACTACCCCTCTTCCAACGCACACCAAATAAAAATGAAAAAACATCAGATTTGATTTCAATATGGTATGGTATTTCAGTATGGTATTCCAATGATGGGGTGCTATTCCTCCCACTGACACCAATGATGGGGCATGATTCCTCCCACTGATACCAATGATGAGGCACTACTCCTCCCACTGACACTAATGGTGCCCCATCAGTAGTGTCAGTGTGTGAGGAATAGTGCCCCATCATTAGTGTCAGTGGGAGGAATAGTGCCCCATCATTGGTATGAGTGGGAGGAATAGTGCCCCATCATTAGTGTCAGTGGGAGGAATAGTGCCCCATCATTAGTGTCAGTGGGAGGAATAGTGCCTCATCATTGTGTCAGTGGGAGGAATAGTGCCCCATCATTAGTGTCAGTGGGAGGAATAGTGCCCCATCATTGGTATGAGTGGGAGGAATAGTGCCTCATCATTTATATCAGTGGGAGGAATAGTGCCTCATCATTTGTATCAGTGGGAGGAATAGCACCCCATCATCATTAGTCAGTGGGAGGAATAGTGCCCCATTATTGGTGTCAGTGGGGAGGAGGAATAGTGCCCCATCGTTGGTGTCAGTGGGGAGGAGGAATAGTGCCCCATGGTTGGTGTCAGTGGGGGGGAGGAATAGTGCCCCATCGTTGGTGTCAGTGGGGAGGAATAGTGCCCCATGGTTGGTGTCAGTGGGGGAGGAATAGTGCCCCATGGTTGGTGTCAGTGGGGAGAATAGTGCCCCATCATTGGTATCAGTGGGGAGAAAAGTGCCCCATCATTGGTGTCAGTGGGGGAGGAATAGTGCCCCATCGTTGGTGTCAGTGGGGGAGGAATAGTGCCCCATCGTTGGTGTCAGTGGGGGAGGAATAGTGCCCCATCGTTGGTGTCAGTGGGGGAGGAATAGTGCCCCATCGTTGGTGTCAGTGGGGGAGGAATAGTGCCCCATCATTGGTGTCAGTGGGGAGAATAGTGCCCCATCATTGGTGTCAGTGTGGAGGAGGAATAGTGCCCCATCGTTAGTGTCAGTGGGGGAGAGGAGCGGCTGCTCCTTCTTTCAGTTCGGCAGCTTGATTTTCGCGGGGCCGTTCGGCTCCGCCTCCTCGGCGGTGATTGGTCGCCTGTGTGCGCTGGCGCCCAATCACCGGTGAGGAGGCGGAGCCGAGCGGCCGCGCGACCATCGAGTGGCCGAACTGAAAGAAGGAGCAGCCGCGCTTCCTGGACCGGATCATCGTGGGACCGGGACCGGAGCCAGATAAGGTACAGCAGCCCCTCTGCCCACCCCTGTACTTAGTGTCCGTTGGAGGACACCGCCCCTGGAAAAAGTGCCGCCCTGACACACCGGCTCGCCGTATACCGGCGTATAAGACAACCCCCGACTTTTCAGAAGATTTTCAGAGGTTGAAAAGTCGTCTTATACGCCGGCAAATACGGTACATAGCAAAAAAAATACAAATCCCAGTGGTGAATAAATACCACCAAAATAAAGCTTTATCTGTCTCAAAAAAATGGTAAAAAATTAATTTGGGTACAGTGTTGCATGACCGCGCAATTGTCATTCAAAGTGTGATAGCGCTAAAAGCTGAAAATTGCCCTGGTCAGGAAGGGGGTAAAAGTCTCCGGTCTGGAAGTGGTTAAGGATCTGCAATTCTGTACAGGCAGTCTTGTGATCCAGGCACCCCTGGACAGTGACTCAACATTAACAGCCTTGTATTTAGCCATCTGCCAAGAGATCAATTATAAAGGCCAAATAATACAAAATCAAGCACAGGAAGAAGACGTAAGGTAGCTTACATACCAATTCCCCCTCTGAGTCCATCTCTTGGTAGCAGCTCTCAATGCCATTCCTCAGCGCAGAACGATCGATGGCCCTTCGTACTTTGTAGTAATGATCATGGAGAACCTTCCAGGCTGGCCCGCTGGTCTCATACTCTGGCCATTGTACAGATTTGTCTTCCTTCTGGACCGTCGACAACAAGCTGTCGGGGCAACCAGAGACATAGACATCTTTCTCCCCAAATAAGGCGTTCGGTAACTTGGTGAGACTTACAACATCCTGTATATTTGGGAAATTGTCTGTGCTCATCACATTTTCAACATGGCTCTCTTCTTTTGCCACCTCAACCTTAGGGACAGGGGTATCTACAATATTTTTCTGTCCAACGTTGGCTCCACCATTGGTCAAGTCATTGACGGACCATGGGTTTAATTTTGATACGGCTAGGTCATTGTTGGCCCACAGGGGGTTGGCCATATTGACTTGAAGAAAAGGCAGAATAGGTGTTTGGAGGGGCTGCATATTCCAACACAATGGAGGGACGGCACTCTCCACGCTCATATCTTGCTTCTCCATCTCTGGGACGCTCCCATAAGTTGAGATTTCTTTATTCGATGGTGATTTTGGAGGTTTGGCAGCCTCCACTTTGACAGCCGTCTTCTCCTTCTTTGAAAACATCATTGGACCAATGGCACTCTCCACTTTAATAGCCATCTTCTCCTTCTCCGGGAAAATCTCCTCATGAATGGCACTCTCTATCTTAATTGCCAGCTTCTGTTTATCCGGAAAAATCATTGGACAAAAGGAACTTTCTACTTTCGCCGGCTTACCTAGGAAGATGGTTGGCACAACATCCTCCAACAGTATTTTCTGGGATCCCACAAAGCGGTAGCACTCAATGCCAAAGTGCGCTGAGCAGATGCGGATCACGCCAGCCTTCCCCTCCAAGACTCCTTGCGCAAAGGCGTCCACATCACCAAAGTTCTGATTGATCTGCTGCAGCCACTTCTTGATGGTGGCAAGGTTCTTGGGGAACATGTGGAAGGTGACCCCTGGGGTGCTGTTCTTCCTCCCAGAGTAATGTGGGCATCCTTGCACAATGCACCTTGGCATCTCTTTGGCCTGTGGGAGTAGAATAACATTGGTTACTAAAAAGAGTGTACACCTCTGAAAAAATCTAAAACATCACTTAAAGCGGTATTAAACCCAAAAACAAAAACTTTATATATTTCAGCTTACCAGTTCTTAGATGTGATAGCTGCATTAGTTTTCATTTTGTTAGACTTTTTTTCTTTTATTTTCACCTGGTGATCCTGTTAATAAGTCTGTTATTTTTAAATTTTTTTAAACTTCCTTTAACCACTTGAATATTGTCATTACTGAGCACCATCTCTCTGGAGATGTCATGTCAAAGACGCACGATTACAGATCAGACCAGGAGTTTTTAAACAAAGGACCAGTTTACTGTTAGGGGGGGCAGACTGTGGCCATTGTGGGAGTAGAAAAATGCTGGGTGGTCAGTGGGACTAAAATAATTACAGAGCGCCTGTAGTCAGTAGGGGGAGGAATAGTGCCCTGTCATTGGTATAAATGGGAGGAGTAGTGTCCCATCTTTGGTGTCAGTGGGAGGAATAGTGCCCATCGTTGGTGTCAGTGGGAGATATAATGCCCCATCATTGGTATCAGTGGGAGAAATAGTGCCCCATCGTTGGTGTCAGTGGGAGAAATAGTGCCTCATCATTGGTATCAGTGGGAGGAATAGTGCCCCATCGTTGGTATCAGTGGGAGGAATAGTGCCCCATCGTTGGTATCAGTGGGAGGAATAGTGCCCCATCGTTGGTGTCAGTGGGAAAAATAGTGTCCCATCATTGGTGTCAATGGGAGGAATAGTGCCCCATCATTGGTGTCAGTGGGAGGAATAGTGCCCTTTCTTTGGTGTCAGTGGGAGGAATAGTGCCTGTCTTTGGTGTCAGTGGGAGGAATAGTGCCTGTCTTTGGTGTCAGTGGGAGGAATAGTGCCTGTCTTTGGTGTCAGTGGGAGGAATAGTGCCTGTCTTTGGTGTCAGTGGGAGGAATAGTGCCTGTCTTTGGTGTCAGTGGGAGGAATAGTTCCTTTCTTTGGTGTCAGTGGGAGGAATAGTGCCTGTCTTTGGTGTCAGTGGGAGGAATAGTTCCTTTCTTTGGTGTCAGTGGGAGGAATAGTGCCCTTCTTTGGTGTCAGTGGGAAGAATAGTGCCCGTCTTTGGTGTCAGTGGGAGGAATAGTGCCTGTCTTTGGTGTCAGTGGGAGGAATAGTGCCCGTCTTTGGTGTCAGTGGGAGGAATAGTGCCTTTCTTTGGAGTCAGTGGGAGGAATAGTGCCTGTCTTTGGTGTCAGTGGGAGGAATAGTGCCTGTCTTTGGTGTCAGTGGGAGGAATAGTGCCTGTCTTTGGAGTCAGTGAGAGGAATAGTGCCTGTCTTTGGTGTCAGTGGGAGGAATAGTGCCTGTCTTTGGAGTCAGTGGGAGGAATATTGCCTGTCTTTGGTGTCAGTGGGAGGAATAGTGCCTGTCTTTGGTGTCAGTGGGAGGAATAGTGCCCGTCTTTGGAGTCAGTGGGAGGAATAGTGCCCGTCTTTGGTGTCAGTGGGAGGAATAGTGCCTGTCTTTGGTGTCAGTGGGAGGAATAGTGCCTGTCTTTGGTGTCAGTGGGAGGAATAGTTCCTTTCTTTGGTGTCAGTGGGAGGAATAGTTCCTTTCTTTGGTGTCAGTGGGAGGAATAGTTCCTTTCTTTGGTGTCAGTGGGAGGAATAGTTCCTTTCTTTGGTGTCAGTGGGAGGAATAGTTCCTTTCTTTGGTGTCAGTGGGAGGAATAGTTCCTTTCTTTGGTGTCAGTGGGAGGAATAGTGCCTGTCTTTGGAGTCAGTGGGAGGAATAGTGCCTGTCTTTGGTGTCAGTGAGAGGAATAGTGCCTGTCTTTGGTGTCAGTGGGAGGAATAGTGCCTGTCTTTGGAGTCAGTGGGAGGAATAGTGCCTGTCTTTGGTGTCAGTGGGAGGAATAGTGCCTGTCTTTGGTGTCAGTGGGAGGAATAGTGCCTGTCTTTGGTGTCAGTGGGAGGAATAGTGCCTGTCATTGGTGTCAGTGGGAGGAATAGTGCCTTTCTTTGGTGTCAGTGGGAGGAATAGTGCCTTTCTTTGGTGTCAGTGGGAGGAATAGTGCCTGTCTTTGGGTGTCAGTGGGAGGAATAGTGCCTGTCTTTGGTGTCAGTGGGAGGAATAGTTCCTTTCTTTGGTGTCAGTGGGAGGAATAGTGCCCGCCTTTGGTGTCAGTGGGAGGAATAGTGCCCTTCTTTGGTGTCAGTGGGAAGAATAGTGCCCGTCTTTGGTGTCAGTGGGAAGAATAGTGCCCGTCTTTGGTGTCAGTGGGGGAATAGTGCCCGTCTTTGGTGTCAGTGGGAGGAATAGTGCCCCGTCTTTGGTGTCAGTGGGAGGAATAGTGCCTGTCTTTGGTGTCAGTGGGAGGAATAGTGCCTGTCTTTGGTGTCAGTGGGAGGAATAGTGCCTGTCATTGGTGTCAGTGGGAGGAATAGTGCCTTTCTTTGGTGTCAGTGGGAGGAATAGTGCCCTTCCTTGGTGTCAGTGGGAGGAATAGTTCCTTTCTTTGGTGTCAGTGGGAGGAATAGTGCCCGCCTTTGGTGTCAGTGGGAGGAATAGTGCCCTTCTTTGGTGTCAGTGGGAAGAATAGTGCCCGTCTTTGGTGTCAGTGGGAAGAATAGTGCCCGTCTTTGGTGTCAGTGGGAGGAATAGTGCCCGTCTTTGGTGTCAGTGGGAGGAATAGTGCCCGTCTTTGGTGTCAGTGGGAGGAATAGTGCCCGTCTTTGGTGTCAGTGGGAGGAATAGTGCCCGTCTTTGGAGTCAGTGGGAGGAATAGTGCCCGTCTTTGGTGTCAGTGGGAGGAATAGTTCCTTTCTTTGGTGTCAGTGGGAGGAATAGTTCCTTTCTTTGGTGTCAGTGGGAGGAATAGTTCCTTTCTTTGGTGTCAGTGGGAGGAATAGTTCCTTTCTTTGGTGTCAGTGGGAGGAATAGTGCCTGTCTTTGGAGTCAGTGGGAGGAATAGTGCCCCTGTCTTTGGTGTCAGTGGGAGGAATAGTGCCTGTCTTTGGTGTCAGTGGGAGGAATAGTGCCTGTCATTGGTGTCAGTGGGAGGAATAGTGCCTTTCTTTGGTGTCAGTGGGAGGAATAGTGCCTTTCTTTGGAGTCAGTGGGAGGAATAGTGCCTGTCTTTGGAGTCAGTGGGAGGAATAGTGCCTGTCTTTGGAGTCAGTGGGGGACATAGTGCCTGTCTTTGGTGTCAGTGGGAGGAATAGTTCCTTTCTTTGGTGTCAGTGGGAGGAATAGTGCCCGCCTTTGGTGTCAGTGGGAGGAATAGTGCCCTTCTTTGGTGTCAGTGGGAAGAATAGTGCCCGTCTTTGGTGTCAGTGGGAGGAATAGTGCCCGTCTTTGGTGTCAGTGGGAGGAATAGTGCCCGTCTTTGGTGTCAGTGGGAGGAAAAGTGCCCGTTTTTGGAGTCAGTGGGAGGAATAGTGCCTGTCTTTGGTGTCAGTGGGAGGAATAGTTCCTTTCTTTGGTGTCAGTGGGAGGAATAGTGCCCTTTCTTTGGTGTCAGTGGGAGGAATAGTGCTCGTCTTTGGTGTCAGTGGGAGAAATAGTGCCCCAAAGGCCAGATAAAGGCAAGGAAAAGGCCACAATTTGGAGACTCCTGGATCAGACCAATGAGAAGCCTTGAGATGGCAGCACTGACACAGATGTGGGAGGAACATGCGCAGTGACATCACAGTGAATAGGCAGTGGGTAACCCATTGTATTTTATTATCAGGTATGATCTGGAGGTGTGATGTCATAGACCTGTGATCAGCCTCCCCCATCACAGTGCATCCATCAGCTCTGCAAATCTCTGGCAGCATGAAGTGATGGTGAATAGGCAGCGGATCACAAGGCGTATACCATCTTTATAATGTGTGTGATGTCAGCACTGCCAAGGCGCACTGTGAGGTCATCCTCTCATTGCGTCCATCGGCCATGGATATCTCTTGCGGCGTGAGGTCACGGCGAATAGTCGGCAGATCACATGGCGCATATTATCAGGTACGACGTGGAGGTGTGACACCATAGACCTGCAGTCAGCACTGCCATGGAGGAGCCCAGCACATCTACAAAGACCTAGGGATCATACAGGGCTACAATGTATCATGATCTCCATGTGACGTCACGACACAGACTGCACTGACAACACAACACATACCTCACCCAGCAGCGCCCAGAGGGAAGACACAACTTTGTGGGGAAAGCTGGAGGCCGATTGGCTGCTCTCCTCTGACGTCACCACACCGTTCTCCTGGTTCAGTTCCTTCCCGAGCACGGAGATCAGAGACGTCACACCGAGGGCCAATCAGCGCTCGGCGATGCTGGGCCCGCCCCCTGTCACGTCCGTCAGCATGGCTAGAGCAGAGTGTGGGGGGCGGGGCTCCGGGCAATGCAGGTCGCCATCTTGTGTGAAGAAATGTGGAGCCTGGGGGCTCTGGAGGAGGGGGGGGCGGATGAGGCACGGGGTGCCTCCGGGCTCGGATTCTGCAGGGAGTTCGGGATATCAGTCTGCTAGTCTGTCTGTCACCTATGATCTCCACACTCACAGTGAGGCAGTGCAGGCCGCCATCTTGGGTGATCCAGTGTGCAGCCC